GATGAGGAAGAAAACAGTTCCCAGAGGATATCATGCAGATATGTAGGAATGGAAGTGTCCATGAATAGTTTGTGGAGAGATGAATGAGCTAATGACGGAAGGATCAGTGCAGTCGCTGGAGAATGGGAGGATGCGGGAGAAAGCTCGAAAAGACAAGAAGAAAATTAGCACGGGGTAAGGACTGATTTCATGAGTTATAAAGAAGGAATGTTTGTGCAGGTTTTGGCATAGAATAGAAGTTTAGGATGGAGAAGAGGGAGGGATGAATGCGAGAACAGTTCTCGGGAAAAGGTCTGTGAAGAGGCCAGGCAGGACGGCAGCCTCCGGACACCTGCGGGATCACCCCAGCCCCACGCACCGATCAGCAGCTCAACCAGCGCTGCCAGCGCCGCGGCCCGAGCCCGCCGCATGCCGCCGCTCCGCCGGCCGAGCCTCGCTGTGCCCCTGAGCCCCGGCTCTGCTGCGGCCGTGCCGCCTCCTCTGCGCCGCCCCAGCTCCGCCCCGGCCGCCTCAGCCCCGCCTCTCACGGCACCGGCACAACCAGCGACACAGGGACCTTTGACACGGCCAGGGACAAGGGACAGCTGTGTCCCATCGCACACAGCAGCGACGCCGCCTGGGAAGCAGATCCACCCTGCACACACCTGCATTGGGCGGCTGCCGGCCCCGTTCACGCTGTTTGTGAGCCTGGGCAGCAGCTGCTGCTCTGTGCTGGTCAGTGCTCGGTGTCCCTGGCATGGTCAGGACATTCCCTCCCGATCACGGACACACACGGACAGACCCAGGGCCATCCTCACCAGTGTGGAGCCACAGACAAATCCGTGCTTCACGTGTCGCCATGCAAACGGGGCTGCTCCGAGAGCACACAAGGCAGGGACACAAAACCAGCCCTGGGCCCTGCTGAGGACATGTGGGGCCAAAAGCAGCAGGGCTGGAGTGTGGAAGGACAAGGTCTCAGACAAGGACAGCGGGTATTTTTCTTTCCTTAGAGACTACACAATATGGAAATGAGTCAAAATAGTCCAAAATTTTTTCGTAAGGGAAGTGCTAGGATGGATGCTACAAAAACCATCAGACCATTGTAGACACATGTGGATGAAAATTCTGGTGAGCATCAGGGTGAGATCAGAGTCCCTTTCCCAAGCTCAGCCTTGCCCGAACACATCCCCTCCCTGCCCTGGGTTGTTGCACAGCTGAGGAAGCTCCCTGCACCAGGGTGTCTTGCACAGCACAGAGGTACAAGGCAGAGTCAGAGAGCTCCACTTCCTCCAGCTGCAGGACACTGGATTTGCCCGTGGTGTTCAGCTGTGTGGTGAAACGGCCGCTGGTCTTGGGGCCACTCCCTGCTTGATAGGAGATCATCTCTGGGGCTTGCCCTTTCCTCAGCTGGTACCAAAACAAGGCAGTAAAAGCACTGGTGTGGTATTTGCAGGTGGTGTGGAAGGGGTGTCCCTGCTTCACCCAGACTGGTCCATGTTCCTGGGTGACCGTGTCCTGCCCCGTGGTGCCTGGAAGAAAGTGACGGTGAGCAGCTCCACGGGGAAAGACAATGGGAAGCAAATGGAAGTGGATGGAAAACCCTGGTGGAGAAAGCTCCTGCATTGGAGCAGAGTCCTGAGAGATTTTGGGCAGGAGTTTGGAGCTCTTTGCTCTGCATGACCAAAAGGAGAGCTGGGCTGTGTCCCTGCTCCTGCTCCCCCTGTTTGAAGGACCAGGGAACAGGCTGCCATGCCTGAACTTTGTGTGCTGGAACCAGCATCCCTCCAGCTGCCTGAGGTGCCCAGCGAGGTACAGCAGAAAGGTTCATCCTGCCTTCCCCATCGCTGTCATGCCTGAAAGCTCCTGAGCACACACAAAGCTGAGCTTGGGAAGAGGGAGCCCTGGTTGTGTCCATGCCAGCGAACACGGGGAGCTGTGGCAGAGCTGTGTAAGCCTGGAGGCAGAATGGAACACCCTGATAATGTAATGGCATGAAAATCTGTGAGGTGCCTGGGGCAGATTAGACAGAATGTGGGAATTTTGATCTAAATGGGAAGAGTGCTCCGTTGTAGAGACAGCTGAGATCTCCTGAAGTGACTGCAGGAGGATGAGAAGAGAGAGGCAGAGGCAGATGGAGTGAAGGTGAGTGAAGAGACAGAGAAGTCTGAGGTTTCATTTCACTCCTTTCCCTTTTCCTTTAGAAACCGAAGTGTTTCTTCAGGAAACACTTGCAAAACCACAAAGAGAAGCAGATTATTCTCAGCCTTTTCCCTATATTCATTGATATTTCCTCATATGACCTTGATAAGGCTGCTGAGGATTTCCTGGGGAAAGGAAAAAGAAGGGAGACTTGGGGAAAGGCAGGACTTACCTAGGAGCTGGCCCTGGAAGACGGTGAGGATGAGATATGCGAGCTGCATGCCGAGACGCCGCTGCTGAGTGACCAAGTGTTTGCTGAGCGAGGCAGAGGCAGGAAGGAGGTCCCAGCCCCGAGAGAACAGAGCTGCGGAAACGACGCTCGGCGGGAGCAAAGGGAGCAGCGGCGGGAGCCGGCGGAGCCATGACCTGTCCTTGCCTGCCTGAAATGCTCCTTGTGCGTTTCTGGCTCGTCCAGCAGCAGCCCCCGAGGCTCCCTCAGCCATTGGCATTGTGAGCATTCCGTGCCCCTGGGGCATCAGTGATGGGAAGGGGCTGTTCCTGCTCAGCTCGCAGTGGAGTCCTCAGCTCCGCAGCTGTAATGGGCAGCTCTGCTGCACACCCAGGGCTGGGCATTTGGGAGCTCAGGGGCTTCTTCCCCGCTGAGGTTTCTCACCTTCCTGAGGTGTCCTCAGTACTTTTTGGTCATTGCTAATCTCCAAATCCAGATGGGTGTTGGAGAACCCCATGGCTGGGGGCTGCACAGCTTCACACGCATTCCTTGGTGGGTGCTCTCTAACCCTACATGACCCCCTCCAAACCTCCATTATCCTCGTGGTACTCTTGTCCCTTCTTTTCACTGATAAAGCTCAGCCTGAGCCAATTCACAGCACTTTCCTAATGACCCATCAATTAGAAGCTGGAGAGCTCTGAGCTCTCTCTTTCTCCCTTTATCACCTACTGCTACATTGGTGTCATTGTGTGCTCTGTTCATCATTTTCCCTGTTCCTTGTTCTTCCCTTGGAAAGGAAAATGGTCCTGATGTGAGCCTTAGAGAACCAGACACTCTCACCTTTCACATGACCTGATTGCAGCCTCAGCTGAAGTTGGTGAGCCCAAGGAGTTTCTGAAGATGCTGAAAGGCTCCTGTCCCCAAACGAAATGGGGTCTCTAGAGGATGTCTCTGGAGGGAAACCTAATGTGGAGCTTAATCTTTCAAGTGTTTCCCTGCAACATTTGCAGCACTGCTAAATCCTGGCATTTGTTCTTCTGGATGTTTGACAGGTTACTAAAGGGAAGGGAAAGGGGCAAATCAAATTGAGGGGGAGGGTGGGTATAAGCAAGCCCTTCAATGATATGAAATGCTCCCCTACTCCAAGCGATTTATTGTTTTCCCTCTCCGATGTTCTATTGTTTCAGGAAGATGCTGAATGCACATCTATGGATGTTTGTGGACATTCGAGGATGAGAACAAAAACTGTAGAGAGGTGAATTCCATCTTCATGTTGCATTAAAAGTACACCTGCCTTACACAGCCAGGTGAGAATGCACCTTGCAGTATGGAACAGAGACATTTCTGCTGGGACAAAGATTTTTTTGTCACCTCAATGCAAACACCTCTAATGCACTGACCTACTGACCGGACAGCACCTCATGGATCAGCCCCTGTGTGCCCATCAGTGCAGCTGCTTTTTCAGCTCCCAGTCTTGGTACTCTCAAGGAGCAGCCGGAGGAGAGGCCGGGCTGTCCGTAGGGAGTGTGTGAGTGTAGGTTGTGGGCGGTTGTGAGGCATGTTGGGGCCCGTGCGGGGCTGTGCGGTGTCGGTGTTGCGGGCTCGGGGCAGAGGAAGGAGCTGCGGAGGCGCGGCCCGGGAGCCCGGCGGGCGGAGCGGCAGCGCCCCCTGCTGGCCCCGCCCGGCCCCGCCCGCGGCGGTTCGTGCCCGGCCGCAGCCCCGGCTCCTCTGCCCGTGGCCCCCAGCGCGCAGTAATACACGGCCGCGTCCCCGCGCCGGTGCTCAGCGAGCCACAGCCAGCTCGAACGCCGATCTGCCGACACCAATAGCGGTCCTGCACCATCCGGCAGCTCTTTGGACTCTTTCAGAGTGAGTGCGAGGAGTTCAGGTCCTTGGCCAGGGAGCTGACAGTACCACTGGATCCAATCACGGGTCTGGATTTTGGTATGTGAGCAGGTGATGTTGATGCTGGTACCCTCGGTGGTCTCCAGGAATGGCTCCTGCTGTACCTGGGCTCTGACCGCAGCCACTGCCAGGGAGACAAAAGGAACAAACCTCAACTGCTACTTTCTACCCATCTCTGCCAATCCCCAGAACAGAGCCCGCAAAAGCAGCCAGGAACATAGAGAGATGAGGAGGAAAACAGTTCCCAGAGGATATCATGCAGATATGTAGGAATGGAAGTGTCCATGAATAGTTTGTGGAGAGATGAATGAGCTAATGACGGAAGGATCAGTGCAGTCGCTGGAGAATGGGAGGATGCGGGAGAAAGCTCGAAAAGACAAGAGGAAAATTAGCACGGGGTAAGGACTGATTTCATGAGTTATAAAGAAGGAATGTTTGTGCAGGTTTTGGCATAGAATAGAAGTTTAGGATGGAGAAGAGGGAGGGATGAATGCGAGAACAGTTCTCGGGAAAAGGTCTGTGAAGAGGCCAGGCAGGACGGCAGCCTCCGGACACCTGCGGGATCACCCCAGCCCCACGCACCGATCAGCAGCACAGCCAGCGCTGCCAGCCCCGCGGCCCGAGCCCGCCGCATGCCGCCGCTCCGCCGGCCGAGCCTCGCTGTGCCCCTGAGCCCCGGCTCTGCTGCGGCCGTGCCGCCTCCTCTGCGCCGCCCCAGCTCCGCCCCGGCCGCCTCAGCCCCCGCCTCTCACGGCACCGGCACAACCAGCGACACAGGGACCTTTGGCATGGCCAGGGACAAGGGACACCTGTGTCCCATCGCACACAGCAGCGATGCCGCCTGGGAAGCAGATCCACCCTGCACACACCCTCATTGGGCGGCTGCCGGCCCCGCTCACGCTGTTTGTGAGCCTGGGCAGCAGCTGCTGCTCTGTGCTGGTCAGTGCTCGGTGTCCCTGGCATGGTCAGGACATTCCCTCCCGATCACGGACACACACGGACAGACCCAGGGCCATCCTCACCAGTGTGGAGCCCCAGACAAATCCGTGCTTCACGTGTGTCCATGCAAACGGGGCTGCTCCAAGAGCACACAAGGCAGGGACACAAAACCAGCCCTGGCCTCTGCTGAGGACGTGTGGGGCCAAAAGCAGCAGGGCTGGAGTGTGGAAGGACAAGGTCCCAGCAAGCATACGGAATATTTTTCTTTTTTACTGGGAGACTGCAGCATGCAGAGATAAGTCAAAATAATCTAAAATATTTTCCCAAGGCAAGTGCTAGGATGGATGGGTTCAAACCATCAGACCATTGTAGACACATGTGGATGAAAATTCTGCTCAGTATCAGGGTGAGATCAGAGTCCCTTTCCCAAGCTCAGCCTTGCACTGACACATCCCCTCCCTGCCCTGGGTTGTTGCGCAGCTGAGGAAGCTCCCTGCACCAGGGTGTCTTGCACAGCACAGAGGTACAAGGCAGAGTCAGAGAGCTCCACTTCCTCCAGCTGCAGGACACTGGATTTGCCCGTGGTGTTCAGCTGTGTGGTGAAATGGCCGCTGGTCTTGGGGCCACTCCCTGCTTGATAGGAGATCAGCTCTGGGGCTTGCCCTTTCCTGAGCTGGTACCAAAATAAGGCACCAAAATAACTGGTGTGGTATTTGCAGGTGGTGTTGAAGGGGTGTCCCTGCTTCACCCAGACTGGTCCATGTTCCTGGGTGACCGTGTCCTGCCCCGTGGTGCCTGGAAGAAAGTGATGGTGAGTAGCTCCACAGGGAAAGACAATGGGAAGCAAATGGAAGTGCATGGAAAACCCTAGTGGAGAAAGCTCCCTGCCTTGGAGCAGAGTCCTGAGAGATTTTGGGCAGGAGTTCGGAGCTCTTTGCTCTGCATCACCCAAAGGAGAGCTGGGCTGTGTCCCTGCTCCTGCTCCCTCTGCTTGAAGGACCAGGGAACAGGCTGCCATGCCTGAACTTTGTGTGCTGGAACCAGCATCCCTCCAGCTGCCTGAGGTGCCCAGCGAGGTACAGCAGAAAGGTTCATCCTGCTTTCCCCATCGCTGTCATGCCTGAAAGCTCCTGAGCACACACAAAGCTGAGCTTGGGAAGAGGGAGCCCTGGTTGTGTCCATGCCATTGAACACGGGAAACTGTGGCAGAGCTGTGTCAGCCTGGAGGCAGAATGGAACACCCTGATAATGTAATGGCATGAAAATCTGTGAGGTGCCTTGGGCAGGTTAGACAGAATGTGGGAATTTAGATCTAAATGGGAAGAGTGCTCGATTGCAGAGACAGCTGAGATCTCCTGAAGTGACTGCAGGAGGATGAGAAGAGAGAGGCAGAGGCAGATGGAGTGAAGGTGAGTGAAGAGACAGAGAAGTCTGAGGTTTCATTTGTCTCCTTTCCCTTTTCCTTTACAAATGGAATAGCTTCTTCAGGAAACACTTGCAAAACCACAAAGAGCAGCAGATTATTCTCAGCCTTTTCCCTATGTTCACTGCCACTTCTCCCATGCTCCAGATTAGGCTTTTGAGGATATCGTGGGTGGAAGAAGAAGAACAGGGGAGCCTTGGGAGAAGCCAGGACTTACCCAGGAGCTGGCCCAGGAAGACGGTGAGGATGAGATATGCGAGCTGCATGCCGAGACGCCGCTGCTGAGTGACCAAGTGTTTGCTGAGCGAGGCAGAGGCAGGAAGGAGGTCCCAGCCCCGAGAGAACAGAGCTGCGGAAACGACGCTCGGCGGGAGCAAAGGGAGCAGCGGCGGGAGCAGGCGGAGCCATGACCTGTCCTTGCCTGCCTGAAATGCTCCTTGTGCGTTTCTGGCTCGTCCAGCAGCAGCCCCCGAGGCTCCCTCAGCCATTGGCATTGTGAGCATTCCGTGCCCCTGGGGCATCAGTGATGGGAAGGGGCTGTTCCTGCTCAGCTCGCAGTGGAGTCCTCAGCTCCGCAGCTGTAATGGGCAGCTCTGCTGCACACGCAGGGCTGGGCATTCAGGAGCTCAGGGGCTTCTTCCCCGCTGAAGTTTCTCACCGTCCTGAGGTGTCCTCAGGTCTGTGGGGTCACTGCTAATCGCCAAATCCTGATGGGTGTTGGAGAGCCCCATGGCTGGAGGCTGCACAGCCTCACAGGCATTCCTTGGTGGGTGCTCCCTAACCCCACAAGACCCCCTCAAACCTCCCTTATCCTCATGTTCCTCTGGTCCCTTCTTGTCAGTGACAAGTCCCTGCCTGAGCCAATTCACAGCCCTTTCCTAATGGCCCATCAATTAGAAGCTGGAGAGCTCTGAGCTCTCTCTTTCTCCCCTTATCACCTACTGCCAGATTGGTGTCATTGTGTGCTTTGTTCATCACTTTCCCTTTTCTTTATCCTTTCCTTGGAAAGGAAAATGGTCCTGATGTGAGCCTTAGAGAACCAGACACTCTCACCTTTCACATGCCCTGACTGTGGCCTCAGCTGAACTTGCTCAGACCAAGGAGTTTCTGAAAATGCTGAAAGGCTCCTGTCCTCAAAGGAAATGGGGTCTCTAGAGCAATTTTCTGGGGGGAAACATCATGTGGAGCTCATTCTCTCAAGTGTCTCCCTGCAACACTTGCAGCATTGCTATACCCTGCATTTTCTTTTTAGTATACGTGAGATGTTACTGAGGTGAGGGAAAGGGACCAATCAGTTTTGGGGGAAAGGCGAGTGTCACAGTGTCCTCAGGAGATTTTAAATACTCCTCTACTCCAATCGATTTACTGTTTTCCCTTCTGGATGTTCTGCTATTTCAGGAAGATGCAGAATGCACATCCAAGGGCGTTTTGGGGAAACCTGAGGAACAGAACAAAAACGAGGGGTGAATTCCATCCTCAGGCGGCATTAAATGTGCACCTGTCTTACACAGCCAGCTGAGGATGCACCTTGCAGTATGGAACAGAGACATTTCTGCAGAGACAGAGATTTCTTTGTCACCTCAATGCAAACCCCTCTCATGCATTGACCTACTGACCGGACAGCACCTCATGGATTGGCCACGGTGTGCCTGCCGGCTGTGTTGCTTTGTCAGCTCCCAGCCCTGGAGCTCTAAAGGAGCAGCCGGAGGAGAGGCCGGACTGTGTTCGGGGACTGTGTGAGGGCAGGTTGTCGGCGGTTGTGAAGCGTGTTGGGGTCTGTGCGGGGCTGTGCGGTGTCGGTGTCGGTGCTGCGAGCTCGGGGCAGAGGAAGGAGCTGCGGAGGCGCGGCCCGGGATCCCGGCGGGCGGATCGGCAGCGCCCCCTGCTGGCCCCGCTCGGGTCAATGACGGTGACGGTGTCGATGGTGGTGTAGGTCCTGGTCCCATTGCGAGATCGGTACCGATGTCCATCGCCGGTGCCGTTGCCGGTCCCATTGCCGGTGCCAGTGTCAGTGCCGGCGGCGGCAGCCCGGGACGAGCGGGGCTCGGCGGCCCCGGCGGGCGGAGCGGCAGCGCCCCCTGCTGGCCCCGCCCGGCCCCGCCCGCGGCGGTTCGTGCCCGGCCGCAGCCCCGGCTCCTCTGCCCGTGGCCCCCAGCGCGCAGTAATACACGGCCGCGTCCCCGCGCCGGGGCTCAGCGAGCCACAGCCAGCTCGAACGCCGATCTGCCGACACCAATAGCTGTCCTGCACCATCCGGCAGCTCTTTGGTCTCTTTCAGAGTGAGTGCGAGGAGTTCAGGTCCTTGGCCAGGGAGCTGACAGTACCACTGGATCCAATCACGGGTCTGGATTTTGGTATGTGAGCAGGTGATGTTGATGCTGGTACCCTCGGTGGTCTGCAGGAATGGCTCCTGCTGTACCTGGGCTCTGACCGCAGCCACTGCCGGGGAGACAAAAGGAACAAACTTTAACTCCTGCTTTCTACCCATCTCTGCCAATCCCCAGAGCAAAGCCTGCAAAAGCAGCCAGGAACACAGAGAGATGAGGAGGAAAACAGTTCCCCGAATCTGTCATGGAGATATGTAGGAATGGAAGTGTCAATTAATCGCTTGTGGGGAGATGAATGTGTGAATGAGAGAAGGATTAGGAGAGCCACTGGAGAACAGGAGGATGTGAGAAAAGGCACAAAAGACAAGAAGAATATTAGAAGGGGGTAAGGACTGACTTCATGTGTTATAAAGAAGGAATGTTTCTGCAGGTTTTGGCATAGAATTTAAGTTTGGGATGAAGAAGAGGGAGGAATGAATGGGAGAACAGCCCTCGGGAAAAGGTCTCTGCGGAAGCCAGGCAACCTTCGGGCGCCTGCGGGATCACCCCATCCCCATGCACCGATGAGCAGCGCGGCCAGGGCCGCCAGCCCCGTGCCCCGAGCCCGCCGCATGCCACCGCTTCCTGCCGAGCCCCGCTGTGTCCCTGAGCCCCGGCTCTGTGCTCTGACTGTGCCGCCTCCTCTCCTCTCCTCTCCTCTCCTCTCCTCTCCTCTCCTCTCCTCTCCTCTCCTCTCCTCTCCTCTCCTCTCCTCTCCTCTCCTCTCCTCTCCTCTCCTCTCCTCTCCTCTCCTCTCCTCTCCTCTCCTCTCCTCTCCTCTCCTCTCCCTCCATCGCCCCCAGCTCCGCCTCGGGGCTGAGCCCAGCCCTGGCGCCGCTCGGGCTGTCTCAGAGCACTCGGGCTGTGCACAGACACAGCTTGGTGTCCTGGCAAACGGACTCTCCCCCTCTTCCAGCTGGGACATCCCAGCGAGAATCAGCCGGCACAGCTCCAGCTGCAGCCTGAGGCAGCAAGAGGAGCCTGAACCAGGAGATGGAGCAGCTTCCCCGAGCTGTCTCTGTGCTCAGAGGCTGGAAACAGCAGGCAGGGATTTTCTGCAGATGGCAGTGAGGATGCTAAAAGCCCCATGTTCCAGCAGCTGTTTGTAGCTGAGTCTCTGTTGCAGAGAACTTCCAGAGTCTAGTCTGTATTCCTTGTTTCCTTTCCACAGGTGGTTCCAGGATTTTTTGGGAACAGCTTGGGCAACAGAGGCCAGTTCACTGCCTGTTCTTGGTTATTCAATGTGACCACCAATCTTGTGGAGAGTGTCCTCCTTCCCACTATTCACAACATTCATGGTAACATGCAACACTAGTGGTCCTACTGCTGATCCCCGAGAGACCCCAGAGCTGTCTGCCAACTTGGGTTTGGATCAATGGCCACAACTCTTTGGACTTGGTAGGCCAGACAATTTTCCACTCACCTTACACCTCTCTTACTGATCCGTTTTTTCACCAATACGGTCACAGAGGAAGGGCAGCAGAGGAGGCCACTGCAGCTGTGTCCCCCCCAGTGCTGCATAAAGGAGAGCAGTCACCTCTCTTGAGCTCCTGGCAACACCTGGTGCAGTGGAGCTGGGGATACAGTTGGACTTCTTTGGCACAAGGGAATTTGCACTTTCCCTTTTCAATTGCATGAGTTTCCCATCAGCACATTTCTCCTGTTTGCTGAGGTCCCTCTGGATGCTGGCCTGACTCTCTCTGATGCATAAATCTCTCTTCCCAGTTTGGTGTTGTCTGCAAACCTGCTGAGGGTCCACTCTGTCCTATCAACCACATCACATGGGAAGTTGATAAAAAGGACCCATCAAATCCTGACCATTTGGATGCACCACCAGTCACTGGTGTCCAACTTTATTTTGTGCAGCTGATCACTGATCCCTGTGCCTGGCCAGTAAGTTTTCATTCTACCTCAGTGTCTGCTCACCCAACATCAGCTTCTCTGTGAGGCTCCTACAGGAATCCACACAAAATGTCAAAGGCTTTGCTCACATTCAGGTAGAGAAGACCCACCATTCTTTCTTCCTCACCATTCTGTCACATCACCACAGCACTTTGTCAAGAAGATCAGGCATAACTTCCTCTTGGTGAAGTCACACTGACCTGTCCTTGGTGACTTTCTCACCCCTGACATGCCTTGATTAGGAGAGCTTTCCAACTCCATCACCTTCTAAGGGGCTAAGGTGAGGCTGGGAAGGTTGTAGCTCCCTGGATTCTCCTTTTCCCCTTTTTGAAGACACAAGCGGCATTTACTTTGCTCCAGTATCCAGTCACCATGCTCAGCTGAGGGTAACCAAGAGTGACCTGGCAATGGCAGGAGTCAGCTCTCTTACCACTTATGTGTACATTCCAACAGGGCCTAAATATGTGCTGTTTGCTAAGGATTCACTGCCCTGATCTCCTTCCATCAGGGGTGCGTGTTCCCTGATCCTGACTTTACCCCCAGTCTACATCTGGTATTCCTTAAGGCCAGTCTTGCCAATGAGGACTGAGGCAAAGAAGGCCTTCAGCACCTCAGCTTTTTCTTTATCCTGTGTCACTCACTCAGCAGCAGTCCTGCACTTTCCTTACTCTTCCTTTTGTCACCTTTGTCCTTGGAAGCCCCTTTATTATGCCATTTGCCTTCCCTTCTGACAGCTGAGTAAAACCTTCCACCTTTTCTCCCCCTTTCTGTATCCCTGGTGCATGACAGGAGAAGGCAAAGCCAGCCACCTGAATTGTCCTGGGCTCTGTGTTTGGTGGGATACAGTCAAACCCAGGAACAAGGCCACTTCTTTGAGACCAAGGCCCCTGAGATCCCAATGGAGTGACCCAGACTGACATAATTTACTTTTAATGGACTCCTGCAGCGTGTGGCGTGAGTCCTGTGCTGACGCTGATGTGTTTTGATGCAGAAATGCTTGGGCCTCTCATCTTGTCATGCAAAAGATGCCTTCATTGAGGAATGTGCCAGAAATAAAGCAGGAAGTGAAAACACAGCAATTTAAGAAGCCAAACCACAGCTCACAGCATTAAATGAGATGGTTTGCATTCAAGATGATTTTGTCAGAAAATGATCACCTCCAGAAGGGATACCTCTGGCAGCCTGAGTCAGTAAAGGTCCATGGTGAAAGCCAGCCCAGCTCTTTTCTCTCTCATCCCCTTCTCTTGCCTCCATCTCCTTGGGAATCAGGTCAGTCTGAAACCCTTTCTCCTTCTCTGCTTTCTCTAAAAGGAGATCTCACCTCAATGGACCACCAGGCTGATTCTAGCAGTCTTCTATGATGGCTCTGTTCCATCATTCCCTCCCCTCAGCTGGACAGAGGAGAGAAAATACAAGAGGCTTCTGGGTCAAGATAAGGACAGGAAAGATCACTCATCAATCACCCTCATGGGAAAACCCTACTCAGATCGAGGAAATTAATTTGACTTATTGCAATCCAGTCAGCATAGGGTAATGAGAAATAAACCTAAAATCCAAACCCACCTTCCCCTCCACTGCTCCCTTCTTCTTCAGCTCAACTTCACTGCTAATTTTCTCCTCTCCAAATGATAGGGATTTGGAGTTGTGGTCAGTTCAACATGTTTCTACGGCTCTTTTGTGCTTAGGAGAAGGAACTCTCACACACTTGCCCCATGCCAGTGTGGGGACACAGCACTCCCAAAACTTCTCCAATGTGAGTTTTTCACGTGGGCTACAGTTCTTTACAAGTCCTGCTTGCAAACCTGTGCTAGCAAGGGCCTGTCGCTCATATGGACACAGCTCCTGACAGGAGCCTGATCCAGCATGGGATCACCTGGAGCACCTGCCTGCCCTCTTCACTGAGATCCTTCACTGAGGGTTGTTTCTCTCACCTCTTCCCTCCCCTCTCTTCTGGCTTACACAATAGGTTTTTTCTCCCTTCCTAAACGTGTTATTCCAGAGATGCTTCCACCATCACTGATGAGCTCAGCCTTGGTCAGTGGTGCATAAGTCTTAAATCCATCTAGTGTTGGCTCCCCCACAACCAAAACCTTGCCATGCAGCCCAAATCCACAGGGTGCAAGGCAAACAGAGCCAGGCACTTCTCTGAGGGGCCCAGTGATGGGACCACAGGACACAAGCACAGGCTGGAACACTGGTGTGAAATATAGGAAAGTTCTTCTTAGTGTTGAGGGTGACCCAAGCACTGGCTCGCATTGCCCGGATGACTTGAGGATTCTCCCACCTTGGGAGGACAACAGGAGAGCTTTAGGAGCAAGAGAATGAAACCCAACACTGCAGCCCAAATGCCTGAGATTCTGAACACAAACAGTGGAGCAAGTTGTGAGGCATGGAGGAAAGAGACATGGCATATCATATAATTTTGCAATGATATCATGGCATATCTTTGGGTGACCAGTCAAGGTTTGAAGCCCTGGGAGCATCTACATCCCTTGCAATCAACAAAGCCACAGGCAACACCACCAGCGAGCTCCGGGCTAACTTCATTTCCCTGCATGCCCCCATCCAGCACTTGAGTGGAGGATTCTGCAGACACTGACACATTCCTGCCCTGGAAATCCTGAGGCGTCTCAATCTCAGCACTCAGAAGAAGCCTCCATGAAGAAATGTCTATGAATAAGCCAGGAAATGAAAAGGTGGCAACACGGAAAACAAGCACCCAGCCCATGTCATTAGCTGGGATGTTTTCCATACATCATGAGCACCTTAAGAAATTATCACTTTCATAGAAGCCACCTCTGGGCCTGGGGCAACTCAGAGTGACTATAAAAGCCAGCCAGAATTCACGCTCTCTCATCCACTTCTCCTGCCTCCTTCTTGGGATCCAGGTGAGTCCAAAGCCCTTTCCCCTGCCCTTTTCTGGAGAAGGAGATGCATGCTCCTATAGCCTGTGAGAAGTCTTAGTGCTGCTGCTGCTGAGGGGTCAGAGAATAACTAAGATGTCAAGGATTTGGCTGAGGGAGCTCTTTATTGAAGAAATATTGTGACACTTTGTAGAACTGTGTCAGGATGAGGCTGAAAACTCCTTTCTCTTACTGTCCAGTTTCTCCCTTCTGGCTTAAGCAGGTTCCATTGCAATTCTTGCAGTGGGATGATGGATTCATGGCTGATGGCCCCTCACATGTGCCTGTGCTCTGCTTCCTTCCCTTCCCTCTCTCTCAGGTGCACGTGCAGCCCCAAGCCATGTCCTGCTACCCCCGGTGCCAGCCCTGCCAGCCCTGTGGGCCCACCCCGCTGGGCAGCAGCTGCAATGAGCCCTGTGTCAGGCAGTGCCAGGACTCCACTGTGTTCATCCAGCCCTCGCCCGTGGTGGTGACCCTGCCTGGGCCCATCCTCAGCTCCTTCCCACAGAACACCGTGGTGGGATCCTCCACCTCTGCTGCTGTTGGCAACATCCTCAGCTCTGAGGGAGTGCCCATCAATTCTGGGGGCTTTGACCTCTCCTCCATCACCAACCGCTACAGTGGCAGCAGATGCCGTCCCTGCTAAAGCCGCTGGTGCAGCCCTCACGAGGAACCCCAGGAACCCAGAAGCTGATGCTGGACTGAGGACAGAGCTCCTGGCCATCAGATTCAGAGGTGCTGAGCAACCAGTGCTGCCCTTCTGAAGGAGGGCTGGTGAGGCTTTCTGAAACCATGGCCAGTGTTTGCTTTCTCTGCCTTTCTCTTCCACCTCTCTCTTGTCTTCCATACTTCTGGACTGTAAGATTTTCAGAGCCTCTCTGGGGAATCTGCTAACCCCTGCCTGCTGTAGGCCAGGCAGATGGATGTCCCCTTGGCTCTCCAGTGGCTCTCCAGTGTCTGTGCCAAAGTGGGCCCAGACTTGCTGCAGTTTCATGTGGTCTCTCACCACCACCACCAGTAGCTTCCTCTATAAGGGAACTAATTTCCCACTTCAATGACAATAAAGCTTTCTGCATCTCATCCTCAGCCTCCATGTAATCCTTTTTTGGTGTCCTTGTCTCAAGTTGCTGAGACCAAAAGGTGTCGCCATGGGTGGTAGAGGAAAAGGTGGGGACAAAAGTATTGATTATTCCCAGAGGAAGGGGAGGGTGGGAAACACAGAAGTGGGGCCCATTCAGACACTGTCCCTTGGAGATGAGGAAGACATCCCTGACTTCTCCACAGACAGCAGGGATCAGGCTCAGCCTTCCAACATTTCTGCTCAGATATGACTCCTTGGTCTCAGAGCATGTCCTGCAGATGGGGAGTACAACCCATCTTCAGGAGACTCTGTAGACTTCTCTCACAGTCAATGATGGGACATCAGGTCACCCAGGGGACTTACCCCATCCCAAAGCAAAGCAGGTGTGCCAGGAAATGGCAAGAATCATCCTTCTGGAGACACAAATCCTGCAGCTGACCAATGGTGGCCCCTCCGAACTCCCCAAGTAGGACAAGCTCACAGCAGGGCCTGCATTCCTGGTCATGTGTGCATGGCTTGCTTCATTAAGCAATCACAGGTGAACCCAAAGGTTCCAGCACTTCCACCCCATGGCTAAACCCCACATCCATTTCCATGGGTAGGACAGATAAATAGCAGGCAGATGGCTTCATGGTCAGCAAATAGGTTCAAGCTGAGAACTTTTCTCCCATTAGCTGCATCTCCACCTCAAACCAAGTGCAGGTCTGTTTTCTCTAAACCACACTGAAGCCTGGGACACAGGACTTGCAGAAAAGTCTCTGCCAAGTCCAACACCCGTGTGGTGATCCTGTACAGTGCAGACAGACTCTCTCTGGAGGTCAATCTAACTCAAGATGTCTAGAGGATGAGAAGTGTGTGGTCTAAGCCAGCTAACTAGTTTATCTTGAGTGTCAACAGAAGAAAAATAGGTGTCTGTAAGGCCTGTATTACCTGATCTGTGAGATAATTTTTTGTAAGGGTTGAACTAAGGCTTGAGAGTGACTGTTTCTCTCAGCTGATGATGAATGGAGCAAAGATGAGTACCTCAATAGAAGACACCTTTTCTAGAGTCAGGGGAAATAGTTTCCTCTATTAATACCTTGTCAGATTTTGAACTTAGTTCTTCAGTTAAAGCTGAAGACAGACGCCTTAGCTGCATTTAAAGGTTCTGAAATGAGGCAGGTGAGTCCTTTACTGTCTCTGTATTCATGTGCCAATAGTTGCCTTTAGTTACTTCTCACCCTGGAGGTTTCATGACCCCCTGCGTATCAGCACCAAAAGCTTGACCCCAGTCTCTTGGAGCATGGCTATTTCAGACATCCCCATGCCAGCTGAGTTCCTCACAAGGTTCTCATACCACAGCTGCAGCTAGGAGGCAAACACCCAGCCTAGCAGCCGCTTAGGGAATTGCATTGCTGTTCTTTAATTGGCCTGTGTGAAGAGAGAGTACCATTCATCTCTGACAAGCTCATAAGTCCTCCCAGAGGTCAAATTCCCTGGAGCACACCGGAGGGAAAACAGAAAACAGTCTCCAAGGTGTGGCCAGCTGGAGCTTCATTGTGTTAATGAGGTGGGTGTGGGGATGTTCTTATGCTAATGGTGCTGGCGACTCTCTGGTGCATGATCTCATTATATGAAGAGAGTTTACACTTTGTGCGTGTGCACACAGAGCTTCCTTTAGTGGAATTACAGTGGTGGCAGTGAGAGGGAAGAAGATCAGGAGTGGAAGCTGTCAGATCCTACTGAATGGAGAGGAAACCAGGTCAGGCAGATGCCATCAGCTTGAAGTGAGTCAGCAAGGGGAGAGCTGCTCGTCCACACACCTTCACCTGAATCCAGAGTTCCCCAAAATAAATCTACAATAAATCTTTGCAATGCTCTCCATTAGCCAAGGGGACCATGGCTACCTTGGGAGGATGGTGCATGAAAAAATGTCATTTGGATCATTTCCACTGGCAAATCTGGTGAGTGAAGCCTGCCCAAGGCGTGTGACACAGATTTCCAATGCCTTGCATGTTTAAGGAGAGCTGGTTTAAGAGAGACTTCTTTACTCTTTAAGTAGATGAGATTTTTAGTATATATTGCTGGGGAGGAAGATAGGAGAGAAAGGGATGATTCAGGTGGTGATTTAGTGCAACTGTCTTCCACATCCACCTGAAAATATGTTCTCTCTAGAGAACTAATCAAGAATTTTCCCTTGTCTGCAGCAACAGTTCAGCAGAGCTACCTTTAATGGGATTCAACTCAGAGGATTTTGCCTTCAGTCACTGAGTTGAGATGTCTAACACCCAGGTGCTTACTAGACTCCTGCCTTAGACCTTAGAGACAACCTGGCACTTCTTGAGAGCTTTTAGCCATGCTTTTAAGACAAAATGAGCCATGTCTCCCTCATGCTTTTTCTCTGTCTGTGAAGAAAGAAGTAAGGGGGGGTAAGCTGAGGAGCTGAGATAGGAGTATTTTATTTCAGCTTAGTCAGCAGAAATCCTTCCTCTGACTCTGAAATGGCAAAATTGCAAAGAGGTGGATCACACTCCGAGTAGTGATACTGAGAAGTAGACACCAGTGAGGGAAATGGAGGCATTTGCAAAAGCTTCCTGTTCTGAGGCTTAGAAAAAAGCAAATATAGGAGACCTTGAGTAGTGACTGGCGTACCAACCTGCTGCCCTGTGTGGCTGCATTTCAATCTCAATCCCTTGTAATAAACTGACATAGAAGAGGTGAGAAAATCTCTTGCAGTGTCACAGTATCATGATAGTATTTGTATTTCTCATTTGATGAAACCACACCTCAGTATTGCCTGCCTTGGAGACTACAAGTTATGTTATTGCCTTCCTATTTGTAGACAGCTTTTCCTGCCTTTTCCTTTCTACTTGTAAGAGCTTTTTCCATAGCTGGAGTGTCTCAGCCTGGTGTCCATATTTTCCTAAGTGGGATTCTCATCTCACAGAAGTGACTACATTCCCCATGCTGTAAAGGAGATGCACAATCTAAAAAATACTTCTCCAATTGTTCATTTGTTGGGGTATACCTGATTTTCAGGGTTAGATCTAGTTGTGTTTCATCAGGGGAGGATTTCTATGAAAATTTTAACATAGGAAAAGTGCCATTTTCCCATGCTGTGCACCAACCGCTTTTTTGGGGATGGTGATTTTTTTTCACTACTTGTAGCATGCAAACTTTCACAGAAACTTTCCTTTCTTTCCAGACAGACCTCAGCACTCGGAAGGACATGGCAAATAGGACAAGTGTAAAAGAATTCATCCTTCTTGGCTTCCCAGGGACATGGCAATTCCGAGTCTCCTTTGTGGTGGTGTTTGCACTGATGTACACCCTGACAGTGATAGGTAATGCATCCATCATTGCCCTTGTGTGGAGAAGCAGCAACCTACACACCCCAATGTACTTTTTCCTCTGCAATCTCTCCTTCCTGGAGATCTGGTACACTACGGGTGTTGTTCCCAAAGCCATAGGAGTCATGCTGGGGACTAGCCAGACCATCTCCTTCAGTGTCTGCATCCTCCAGTTGTTCTTTCTTCTCTCTCTAGGCTCCACTGAGTGTTTTCTCCTGTCTGTCATGGCCTATGACCGCTACCTGGCCATTTGCTGCCCCCTGAGGTACAGCTCCCTCATGAGCAGCGTCCTCTCTGTCCGGCTGGCACTCAGCTCCTGGCTGGGAGGATTTTTGGCCATTTCCCTGCTGGCCTTTCTGACATCCAGGCTGACTTTCTGTGGGCCAGATGTCATCAATCATTTTCTATGTGATATAGATTCCTGCCTTGCCCTCTCCTGCAGCGATACATGGCCTGTGGAGCTGGCAACCTTCCTGGTCTCCATAATTGTTGTGGTGGCCTCCTGTGTGGTCACCTTGGTGTCCTACATGTACATTATCTCCTCCATCATGAGGATCCAGTCAGGCCATGGCCGGAAAAAGGCCTTTTCCACCTGCTCTGCCCATCTCAGTGTTGTCACCATCTGGTATGGCTCCACCATGTTCCTGTATGTCAAACCATCAGCCCAGAACTCCCTGGATGTGAACAAAATAGTGAATACCTTTAACACAGTGGTAACTCCTTTACTGAACCCCTTCATTTACACACTCAGGAACAAAGAGGTGAAGCTCGCTCTGGGACGAGCTTTCCAGAAAAAGTGAAGTGACTTTTTTCACAGGGCATCAGTTGAACAAACAGATTCATCCCTGCCCTCCCATGACTTCTGCCCTGCAGAAGATCCCCTCCGAAGTGTAGGTCTGTGTGGGCATCCCAGGCACCGAGAAGCCACCAATGAGCTCATATCACCTTACAGCCATTTCTGGCTGGGCTGAGCCTCAGTTCTGCTCTCCCACCACCCTCTGTTCATACCCAGGTAATTCAGAATGCCTCCCAGCCCTTTAAAGTGCCGTGCTTGGAAAGGGTCACAAAAAAAACCAGAGCTCGAGGAGTGGTACTCCCACAGGTTTCTACCCCAGTTTGCCAGGTGCTTAATTTTGTCAGGGTTTGTCTGAATCTCCTAAAGAAATCCCAGCAACTTTAGGAAACGTTGCTTTAGGAAGTAGACGTGTGTTTCTCCATTTAGCCTGATGTTTTGTGATGTATCTATGCCACATTCTTGTAGCTATTTCATCATATTCTTTTAGCTATTTCATCATAAATCATACAATTCAAGATAAAATTTGGCAAGGTCTGATATCCCTACTTATAGCCATTTTTTCCTAGCATAAGACTGCAAACAAAATTTGCATAATTCCTCTTCTTTCCTCTCCTTAGTATCTGAATCTACTCTCTTATTTTTAATTAAAATTATGCAAAACTGCGTGCTTCATTCTAGATGTGTCAGGGCATTTCCACATCTAAAACCCCACATCATTTTTAGCAGTACATTGTTCCACCCATTTTGGGCTTTGTTGTGGAAAAACTTTAATGTGATTGGCAAAGCACTCAAAGTGCAGAGCTGTGGAAGGCTGGCTGGGAAGCAAGCCTCCCTTTACACTCATTGGGAGGACATTAGCACTTCCAAACAGCACTTGCTTTTCCCCTCCCAATTTTCATTTCAGAACAGATTAACCATGTTCTCAAAGCTTTTCTTTTGGCACACTGACAGTGAGGATAGTCCATGTAACCACTTCATAATGAGGAGGGATCAGCTCATCATGGTAAACAGACCTTTATGGAAAGTGTAGGGTTAATTTCACCTGAGCATAGAGCTCTCCAATTGAGATGATTGAGTCTGAACTGAACATTTACTCCTCCCTTCTAGAAGCAATGGCACTTCTGGGGGAGATTCCCAAACCTCCTGCATCCACCTGGGCACTTGGCATTTAGTCCTGTATCCAGGCCCAGGCACCACTGCCCAGGGCACAGGCAGATTCCCACCCTTTGTCTGCTGTGCTCTTTTTCAATGGCATTTGGGAAAATGTCTGGGACAGCAGAAAGAGTCTGAGACTGGATTTATCCTCAGACAGACACCACTGCTTGTCATTTCTGCCTAGGAATGGTGCATTTTGGAAAGAATTGTGTGTTTGGAGTGTTGAATCCCTCTACAGTCCTGGAAAGCAACAAACGGCAGGATCTGAAATGTCCAAGACATCCAATACACAGCAGAGTGCAGGACACTGAGACCTGCTGTGAATTCCTCATCAACACTGCTTAGAGCCCTCTGAGATAAACAGCAGCATTCAAAGCCTCACACAGGGCTGTCAGAACAGATCCTTGTCACTTGGGAGAGGCAGGTTATGCTGGAACAGCAGCAGAAACACAAATGAGTACCCTGAGGTTTCTTGGGCAAAGGGGATGATGCTCCATGAGCAACAGATTCCAATTCAAAGGGTGGGATCCATCTGGGAACTCAGCACCCTTGAGCTGAGTTTCCATAAGAAGTGCTGTAGTGGGGTTGCCCAAAAATAGGTCCCCAAATCATTCCTTTAGCTCATGGGAGGAGAGGAGGTCACTGAGATGTTTACAGCTGCTGGACAGAGAAACTGGCACAGACTCAGGAACATGGGAGCTCCCTCCAGCACTGGTGATTTCCCTGAAAAGGAGAGACATGAAAAAGAGTGGGACCACTCTCTGGCAGTGGATGAGTGCAGAAAGAATCTTGTCCAGAGTCTGGCTGGTGGCTGTTTTCCATTTGCTGATGCAGGGTAAAGGAAGAGCCCTTCCCATCTTGGGCTTCTGTGACCACAGTGTCAAAATTGTAAGGTTTTAATGAGGCCTCCTACCAAAGGCCTCATTCTCCAGCTGTGGCCATCAGTGGAGGCCCGTGGAGATGAAACAGGAAGAAGAGCCAGCAGGCTACTTGCTGTGAGAATTGCAGTGTTATTGTAAGCAGAGAACATTGACAAGGTTCTTTCGGCTTGTTAATGGTGTAGCCTCCAATAAGTCTGCCCCAAGTCAGGTTTATTGGACAGTTTTTATCATCAAAATCCCTGGATCTAGAAGCAACTGTGAAAATCACAGGAATATGTGCTGCACCACAGCATCCACTTCCAGAGATGGAGCAGCCAGATCTCCTCTAAACAACATGTGCAGGGCCTCACCACTCTCAGAGGGAAGAATTTTTTCTTAATAACTAGTACAAATCTATTCTGTGTCAGTGGGAAGCCATTCCCCCTTGTCCTGTCACTCCATGCCCTTGTAAAAAAGAGAGAGTTCATCTCTTGTATCCTCTTTGGGCACTGCAATGTGATTTAAGGTATCCCCAGTACCATATTCAGGCTAAACACATTCATCTCTCCCAGCCCTGTCTCCATGGCAGAAGGGCTGCAGCCCTCTGAGCAACTTTGTGACCTCATCTAGACCTATTTCAGCACCTTTACATTGGGGACCCCAGAACTGGACACAGTGCTCACTGGGGTCTCACAAGAGCAGAGAATTGGGGGAGAACCACTTCTCTATAGCTGGTAGTAAATCTTCTTCTGAGGCAATACAATTCTGGGATGCAATTCCAGGGCTGCATGTGAATGTTGCTGGTCATGTCCAGCCTCTCATTCACCAGCACACCCAAGTCCTTCTTGGCTGGGCTGCTCCCAGTTTACTCATCACCCAGACTGTGTCCATCCTTGGGGGTGACCCAAGTCAAATTCAGGACCTTACACCTGGCCTTCTTGACCTTCATGAGGATTTCATGGGCCCACCTCTCTGTCCTGATGAAGTCAAGTTTGTAGGAGCACAACACACTGTGGGCTCTGCTGAGGACACCTGGGGACAACTGCAGCAGGGTTGGGGCATTGTGAGGAAGGACAAGGAGCCAGACAAGCCCATGACATTTTCTGTGCTGCACAAAGAGGGCATGAGTTAAAACAAGCCAGAATTTTCTCCTGATAGCAGAGTTAGGCACACTGGGGTGAAAACCAGTTGCCAGTTGCAGAGTCCATGGAGGGAAGAAGTAACCACAGGGAGGGAAAGAGAAAGATATGACATATCCTCATGCACAGGAGTCCTTGGGCAGCCAGCTGAGGATTGCTGGAACTCAAACAGCCCCACCAGAGTTATCCAGACTGTAATATTACTTGCCCAGCCTGGGCCAATGCAGTACATAAACTGAGTTTTCTGCCTGCACTGCTGCATTCCTGCCTTAGAAATCCTGGGGCCTTTAATCCCAGGGATCAGAAGAAACCTTCACTGGGGAACAGGCACGGAACAAACCTGGAAATGAAAAGGCAGCAGTGTAGGAAATGAAAGCACAGCCCATATCATTAGGTGTGCTGGTTTGCATTCAAGATGAGCTTGCTGGGAAATTGTTACCTCTGCAAAGGCTGCCCCTGCTCCTGCGGCAGTCAAGGGCAGGTATAAAAGGCAGCACAAATCTCTGCTCTCTCATCCACTTCTCTTGCTTCCTTCTGCTTGGGAACAAGGTGAGTCTGAAGCCCCTTCTCTTTCTCTGCCAAAGTGAGATCTCTGCTTGGTGGGTATCTCGAGTGATGCTGGCTTTCTCATATTTGGGGATTGGAGCATCTGGTCCTGAGAGAGGAAAGTAGGGAGGAGGCTGGCATGGGGAGAGGCTGGTGACGGTGGTGCCTTTTGCTTTCTTTGCCTGGGAGAGACCTTCCTGAGCCAGGCTGCTCTTTGTAGGGCTCCTGGACCAGTCTCCAGCTTCCCATTCATGGCGGTCTTGGCTCTCTTGTGATGGGGTAACCAGGCTGCTCCTCACCCACCCACCCACCCACCCAGCTTTGTGCTCTGTTTCCTCTCTGTTCTCTTTGCCAGGTGCACCTGCAGCCTCAAGCCATGTCCTGCAACACCCAGTGCCGTCCCTGCCAGCCCTGTGGCCCCACTCCACTGGCCAACAGCTGCAATGAGTGCTGTGTCAGGCAGTGCCAGGACTCCACCGTGGTTATTCAGCCACCTGCTGTGGTGGTGACCCTTCCTGGGCCCATCCTGAGCTCCTTCCCCCAGAACACCGTGGTGGGATCCTCCACCTCTGCTGCTGTTGGCAACATCCTCAGCTCTGATGGAGTTCCCATCAATTCCGGGGGCTTTGACATCTCCTCCATCACCAGGCGCTACGGTGGAAGGAGGGGCCTCCCCTGCTAATGGTGCTGGTCTTGGGAAATATCTCCAGGATCTCCAGGCATGGTGCTGGACAAAGGAAGAATCTTCAGGTCATTTCTTTCAGAGGAACTGACCATCTTTAGTTCCTCCTGAATATGCTGGAAAGAAGGGCCCAGCTCAGGCACTTCGAAAGCCCTATGTCTTTCCTGCATATCTCCTTGTTTCTATTTTCATTGTTTCCTTCTGCTCCCCTCGGCTGCAAGGATCCTCCAAGCCAGCCTGCACTCTACAGGGAAGGCAAATGGATGCCCTGCATCAACTTCACCATGGCCAAGAGGTGAAGTGTCCTGCTTGTCCATCCAGAACCCTGCACTGAGGGCCTTGACTCCTTCTTTAAACTCAATAAAGATTTTTGCATCTCAGGCTGGGTCTCCAGGTTTTCCTTCACTCCCCATATGCCCTTGCAAGCTGCCTGGGTAAAATGGTGTTGATCCTGTAGAGGAAAAGGTGACAATGTGGTGAGATCCTTCATCCAGAAAAATGTGAAGTTGGGATACACTCAGAGGGTCTTATGAGGGGAAGAATTCTGGGGCAGGATGCAAAACATCCCCAGCTGAAAGGTGATCAGCCCGTTCCCTTCAGTGTCTTTGCCCAGATATACCCT